TTTCCTCCCTCCTCCAGCACAGTTTTTGGGGTTTTTTTCCATCCTTGCTCCACTGCCCACCCCTTCCTTGAAGCAAAGTGGGAAAATTCCTGGCCCAGTGGATCGGCATCTCGCCAAAGAGGAACGAGCCGGGGAGAGAGCACGTCGGCAGCGGTCACGGCAAAGCTGCTTACGCACCTCGGGGCCGGGCTGCGGCCGCCGGCATGGATTAGACACCTGCAAGGCTTAAGACATTTTAATTTGACCGTACGTCTGCGTCCCCTGTATCTACCAGGATCAGAAAACCAGGCAAAGCTCCCTCACGCAGCCAAAACCCCGCCGTGATGGCTCGGAGGGGGAGCAGAGCGGCTCCTTCTAAATGGTTTTAATATTTGGAGGAGCAAAGCCTGGAGAGACAAAGGTGGCTGCATGGTCCCAGGGGGATGGGACCTTCCAGCCTCGAGGTGCTGCTCTTGGACAGATCATGTATTCCCTGCTCCGCACGGGCACAGCTGGGCTCTGCGTCTCGCACCAAGCTCATTCACACCCAGGTTAAGAAAATAAAATAAAATAAATAAAAATCGTTGTTTACAATCGTTGGTGAAGGCTCGGTGGTGGCAGAGCGTTCAGTGGGAGAGCACAGAAAGACTAAGCAACGCCGGTGGCGAGGTGGTTACATTATCTGTCCAGAAATTGGGACAAACCCCCTTCTGTGCCAGGCGACACAGAGAAACACCCGGGAGTGGGTGACAGCGTTGGACCCTTCAGGGACGCTTGTTTCTGTACAGGTACAGGTTTTCTACCTCCCCACCAACATCCGTGAGCATCAGACACCCATCAGTCTGCACGAACCCCCACCACGAATTCCCATGGGACAAGGTGCAAGACACACAAGCAGCTTGGGATGGGACAGGCGGCCTTGTTGGCAGCTTCAGGTTGGCTTGGAGGACTCGAGTGATGTCTGTGTGGAGGTACCTGCAGTAGAAATGTTGAGAGTGGCCTGGATGGAGGACAAGCAGAAAGGTCTGGCTGTGGAAGCAGCAAGGAGGCAGGAGAAGAGATGGCAAAACAGTCGGGGGTGATGCACCACGGTCAGCAGGTCCTCAAGCTCTTGGGTGATGTCAACCAGCCACCAGATGGGACACCATGGTTCAGAGAGAACAGCCAGAGGGACAAATCCTCAACTCACAAAGAAGGGGGACAGGATGGAGTGAAAAGTCACCAACAGCTCCTCAGAGGTACAAAAGGGCCCATCCAAAATGGGGCCACCAACCAAAGAAAAGCCCATGAGATGTGATGAGGATACGATAGCTGCAGTCCCTCGTCCTCAGTGTCATCGCAAGGACACCTGGCTAGACCACCTGGAACACGAGCATCTTGGTGCTTGTGAGTTTTGGGGGGGGGGAGGGGAGAAGGTGCGATGGTGTGGCCACCAGAACAAAGCCAATTTTATTTAAAACCAAAATGCCTTACCCTTATGGTAAGGTTTCTGACAGCATTGCAACATTATTTCATAGAATTGTTTGGGTTGGAAAAGACCTTTAAGATCATCAAGCCCAACCATTCCCCTACTCCTGCCATCCCCCCCCCAACCCCTGGCCCTCAGCACCGCCTCTGCCCGGCTGTTAAATCCCCCCAGGGCTGGGGACTCGACCCCTTCCCTGGGCAGCCCCTTCCAGTGCCTGACAGCCCCAAGGGGAAGGAATTGTTCCCCATGGCCAACTTCACCCTGCCCTGGTGCAACTTGAGCTTTGACTTCCCACCTATCCAGATGCATCTACTTACCCTGACCGTATCTCAGCCATGTCCTACAAGACGACGGCACTAGGTCTTCTCCTCGGCGCGGCTGCAGGACCAGGAGTGTTTGCAGGGTCCCCAGCATGCGCCAGTGTGGAGAGTGGAAGAGGTGGTGTAACAGGACAGCACCGAAGCCATGTGCCGGCTGCCAGGCTCCGCTCCAAGCTGCCTTCGGCGCCACGTGGCACGGAGCCCGGCTCCTGGGCTTCCTCCCCAGGGACCAGGCGCCCGCACCGTCTCTCCACATGAGACGTCTGCTGGAAACGCAACGGAGGTTCGCACACACGCAGTCTAGCGCTGCTGAGCTCTTCTCAGCATTTTGCAGCACGTTCCCGGGGACACAAAGGTGTCCTGACCCCTCGCTCCTACCTTGCAGCAAAGTAAGCAGCAGCAAAACCAGCAAGCCAGACAACAAGGGCTCTCCCCCGGGCTAATTTTGCAGGCATAAAGCTGAATCCACGTTCCTTTTCTCACATCCTTTTGTACCTGATCATCTGTAACGACAACAGCCGGTTTGTTTCTGTGCATCTTTTTTATTGCCTGAGGGGCAGATTTAAAAGAAGGGTAAAACAAAAGTGCTGGAGATGTGCCATTACGTCTCGCTTTTGAACGGGAGCGCGGTGCCTGAGCTCCCCGTCCCAGGCGGACAGGCCCTCTGCTACCGTCCAGAAGCCTTCAGAATCATAAAGCACCTTCAAAATAATGCAAATTCCCTTTTGTGTTTTCAAGGCCTTTGCTGTGGCCAGGAAAGCTTGAGACAGACATTTGAAAACATTCTCACTTGCTTTCCCATAAAAGCTCAGACTCACAAGGCATCTGCGCTCGTTAGCGGGGATATTAGGAGGAAACAGCTATTTCATGGTTTGCTAAAATCATGACAAGTGGGAATGAAGCAGCCCCTTGCATTTACCAGGTTGCGGCACTGCTGTATGGAGGCCAGGGCTGGGTTTATAGGAACATTCAGGATCTTTAGAGGAATAAAGCCACTTCCTCGCCTGCCCAGGGGCTGATACAGCTCCCATCAGCCTGTACCGTTAGCACCTTCCAGCGTTAATTTGGTTTTTCTCCCTGGTGGAGGAGAATCTCCTTCACGGATGGAGAAACCAGACGGGGGAAGACTGGCAAAATGCAGGCCTTTGCAGGCATGTCTGAGCGAGCCTGAAGATGCTACCGAGCCCTGCTTCTCCTCATCCTGCAAGCTATCAGTCCCCTCTCGTCTGATGACAAGATTTTTGGGAGCGCGCTGCCTCTCCTCCTGCAACACGAGCCGGCAGAGGGGAGGAGGCCCTCACCCCACTGTAAAGGATGCTTAACTCAAGAGGAGAGCAGCACTGTTGTCACTCTGGCTTAGGATCATCATGGCAAATTCTGCTCCAGGGACGGCAGGGTGGGAATTTCTCACTCAAACAGAGCTCAGCATCATCTTAAACCCACCCAGGAGCACGTGGGTCATGCATCAAACCATGATGTGAGCACCACGGCTTGGGCAGAGCAAAACCTAGCTCGTTCGCTCGCCTGTCTGATTTTTAGCACCTGCTGTCGCCAAAACTGCAGAATCCTGTTGGTTTTTTACATCTTGATGTTACATATAGACAGGGGCGTACCATGTTTCTAGGCAAAACCAAATTTGTAAGTCCAGATGGATACAAATAAACCAAAGAGACTACAGTAGCTCTTACCTTTATGTGTATTCCAGGCTGTGAGGGACTTACTGGCTACATTAAATATTAAGCCATTTCCCTGTACACTTCAAAGAACAGGATTTTTTTTTTTTTTTTTTTTTTTTTAAAGTTCATTGGTGGTGAGAAGGGCCAAGCAAGGCTGTCTGGAATAACAAATACCTTTTTTTTTTTTCAGTCTGATCCAAAGACCCTTGATGTCACTGCGAGGCTGAGGTCTTTGTACTGATTTCAGCCAGCTCTGGGATGAGTCTTGGGCCACAAAAAGGACGTAAGAGGTTGATGCAGCTTGAAGACTCCCCGCACTTGTCCTCTGCAGCTCAAACCTGATGAAGGAAGAGTCACCGAGCGCTCACTTACACTGCACTACACTCAGCCTCTCTCAAGGACTATCAAAAGAGGTGGCCACTTAAGGCAACTTAAAGAGATTAGTGGACAGCAATTCCATTAAGGGCTATAAAAATCAACGATCCAGGCGTACTTCTCCTCAGTACGTCCACTGTATGGAAACATCCCAGCAAGAGCTGGGCAGGCTCCAGGGGGTTCAAGCCATGCAGGTCCTCAGAGGTCATCTAGCAGTGGCCCGTGAGACGCCTTCCTTGGACGGTTATACTTCAGGGAGCTGCAGCCTCAGCTGTTTGGACGTGCTGGGTGTTGCAGAAGAAGAGGTGAAGTTCAGCCCTGAAATGTGGAAGTGTAAGAAAAAAAAAAAGCAGCCATGAATTAACAAGGATGGGGTCAGCACAGGAATGTCACAGCCCAGACATGTCACAGCCCAGACCCATTACATCCACTATCTTTTTCAGATAATCCTATTTAAAACAGGCTTTTCATGTCCATTATCTTTTTGAGATAATCCTATTTAAAGTATGTTTTCTCCTAAACATATTTCCCAATTGTCAAGCTTGGTTTCTCTGCTCAATCCTTGGGCAAAAATTCCGTCATTTTAAATAGGTGTTTGCCTAAATCTGAATAGTCATTAAGTGATAACTAACGTACCAGCTGAAACGAAACAGGCTCCTCATTTTCCCGTTTCATCTCATGTGCCAACATCCATTTCCTGGAAAACCTGGATGACATCTGTCTTCCTCGCGAGCTGCTGTGCCAGCGTGCCTGTGCCATCCGGGGCATCCTGCAACCCGGCGCGGAGCAGGATCCGTGTGGCAGCTGCCTGCTGCCCAGCACACGCCGCGTGCAGGGCTGTGGGGAGACAAGATGTTGAGACAGGAGCTGAGGTTTCCTGGTGATTTTGGCCTCAGCCCGCTTCAGATGCACATACCAGATTTCCAGGGAAGGAAACAAGAGTCCGTGAAGGGAACGCATCGAGGGTGAAAAATGATTTTTCCCAGTTGCAACACCTGGCCAAGCAACTGTGTGATGGTGCAGCAGGGCTCAATTGCTGCGGGCACGCGTATCTACAGCAGTGATGGGTTGGCTAAACCTGCCCAAGGAGGGGACATGTCCTCTTCCACACCCAGCCATGCTGGCAGAATAATGATCAGCCCGGCCTACCCCAGCTATTACCCCCGTCTTTCCCTCACAGGTTACTAGTCCCTCCAATCCATTGAGAGGTACTAACCTGGCTGAGCCAAAGCTAACCGGGTTTGCAAACATATCAGGAATATTTAAGCCAGCTTGGGTTCATTTTGACTGAGTCATGGGCAGAGGGTGCCCACGGCAGGAGGGGGAGGCTGTAGGACAGAGCGGGCAGAGCAGGCCTCCGGGCTTCTTACTGCTCTGTATTTGGGTTGGATTTAATAGCGCTGTGCAAGAGAGGGGCTTGAAACTACTCTGAATGTGACCAGGGTCCTTGATGGGCTTGGGGCTCCCTGCCAGCTCACTCCAGGCTCAGGGATTAAATCAGAAAGGTTTCCATGCACTGCGTGCAGCAAAGAGCATCCCACAGGAGGAGGCTGAAATACCCCAGCCCGAGCCTCAGCTCATGCCACAGACCCTTCTGACAGCCGGCATGCTGATCCAACATGGCTCCAGCACAGTTAGGCAGTCCTGTTACACTTGGTTTGTGCAGCTGGATGAGCCAGCCACCTTCTCCTGGCCTAATCTTCCACAGGGGTGAGTATCTGTTATGCTGAAGGTCGTTAGCTCCTGCTGCAGGCTGATGTTGACCTTGAGGCATTCTGATCCCCATGGATAATCCACGTAGGACACTTTGGAAGAGCAGAGTCTGGGTGACAAGCTCCCCGGGACTCAGCGACACTAACACAGCAAAGGTGCCGGGCAACAGGGCAGCCGATGGGCGCGAGGAGCCACCACAAATGTCCCAGGGTCAGACGAGTTCAGCAGAGCTCAAATTTACTCACTGAGGGGGTGGAGGGAGAGATCAAGAGATACAAGACTGTTCATGCTCGCCGCTGAAGCGTGTTATTAAGCAAACCTGAAGACTGGGTAAGTTGCCAATTTTGGCAATGGCTGAAACCATTTATAAATACTTTTTTGAGAGAGAGAGATGCTGATGCAAGAGATGCCTCATACTCTCACGCTGGGAATGCCAACTCACTGGCATTACTATAGCAACTATATTTACGTTCAATCTCTCTGTTATTTGCTCATAAGCCATTCCTAGGCAGTTTGCTAAGGAATTGAGGCTCAAGAGCTTGTGCAATTGTTGTATTTGTCTGCCCACCCTAGCTGTTTTGAATTGGCTAACTTCAACCAAATTCGATGGTGAGTATCAAAGATACTAAGCTCCTGAAAGTTTCATGCAAAATAAGCAACTGGGTAAAGAGAAGCACTATTTAGTATCTCTGTTCTTCCCCCAAGGGAAAGGCCCCAGTGCAGGTTCAACCTCACCATTAAACATCAGAAAGTCCAGCAGGAAGAGAGCCTGTGAATGAAAGCAGCAAAAAAAAAAAAAAAAAAACAAAAAAAAAACCAACCCCACATACACCACGCTGCTCCAAGAGCCATTTGCATACGTGCATCTGGTATCCCCTCGCATGCTCGGCTGAGCAGACGCAGCACGGGCTGCTTTGGAGGCTGGGCTCTTGTTACTAAAGCACACTCTCACTGTCATACAGAGGGTGAACAAACAGCTCGGCTGCCTTACCGGAACGGCTCTTCCCATCCTTTGCGTGGACATCAGCGCCGAGGGACAGCAGCGTCTGGATGGTGTGCACGTGTCCTTCCTGCAGTGGTGAGCACAGGCACGTGGATTATTTATTCACCACCAGCTCTGCACAATTTCTCACCTTTGCATTTAGCAGAGATAAGACAGGCCTGAAAAGAAAGGAGGCCACAAGCAATCTGTTCCTAACTGCATATGGCACCTGGGAGGGGCACAGACACAGATCCACTGCGTCACGGTCAAAACTCGGGGCTACCAGGAGTTGCTCCAGGCTCCAGAGGACCTTACAGCGGCTGGAAATCAGGGTCAGCTGCCTGTGGCAGTGCAGGTTGGGTCCATCAGCCAGGGATTGCCCAGGCACAGCAGACACGCTGCTGTTGCCCTACAGGAATTGGTCAGAGAGATGCTGCCAGGCACCTTCTCCAGCCCTCCCGCTGGCAGCCTGTAAGAGGAGTGAAAGCTCGGCCTTCGGTCAGAGCGTCTGCACGCCTTGCGTGCCCCTGGCAGCAATTTTGACCCAGAGGCTGAAAAAGCAGCAAGAGGCATCCCAGAAGCGTAATCCTCTCTGCCAACATTTAACACAACTTTTTAAAATCAGGGGTGTTCAATTAAGACCAACAGTGCTTAAAATCACGCTACAGCGCAGAGGTGTCTCCGGTGGTACAGCCAAAGAGAGCGGTGCCTCAGCAGGGCAGGTGTGATAGACACACAACCCAGTTCAGATCCAGGCAGATGGATCTGCTTTTAGACAACTGTAGATCCCATATGATCTTCCTGATCATAGTCAACAGATCCACCTTGCACAGCTGGGACCTTGAGGTGTGAGGAATTTGGAGGACTCTCTCCCAGCGCGGCTTCGTCTTCGCCAGCGGCTGCAGAGGAGTTAATGCACAAACGACCTCTGACTTGCAACTGGGTGACACAACCTAAAAGACGTTTCTTAATAGCAAATTAGCACATTAATTTGTCAACCGATCTTGCCTTTTCCTCTCCAGCCCTCGCCTCCAGTCAAGTAACTCAATTAAATTGCTTTTAACTTCAGCTGGCCACAGAGCTGTAGGATCCCTGACTTACCTTTCATAATTGGCAGCTGGCTGTTTGTTAAGAGGACTACGTGTCAGCAAAAAGCCGTGTGTTTTCCCACACTCTAAGTCCACTTCAAGTACCACGGGGAATCTAGAGTTGCTGTTCCCGAGCTGTATTTCAGCTCAGAGAGCAGAACCTGTTGCTGATGTGGACTGTTGCGCATCTGCCTGCTACGGTACCCTCGGGCACTGGCATTTCCTAAAGGATTACACCAGTATTTGTAATGCCCTGCGAGAAGAGGCAGAACGCCACGCTTACACACCGTCACGACCCACAGTGTCCTCTATCTTTCCTCTGCCAGTAGGAAATTTTAAACGCTGCAGGGGAAAATGCGGTACAGCCCCCACACCACTCCTCTCTGCACAAGCTTCTCCGTAAATAAATCCTCTCTCCCTAAATAACACGCCTGATTTTGTAATTACTTCTTCAGTGCAATGAATTAGTCTTTGTCGTGCAGCATGAGAATGGAAGGCCCTTATTTTTATCCCCACCACCCACTCCTTTCCCCCATTATCGTACGACTCAGTAGCATCTTCCCCCCTGCTCCAGGCTTCCATTTCCCCGCTGCATGTGCACCCCCCTCTCAGTGGCAAAGACAGCAAGCCAGGAATTGCTTTAGCTGCCACAGCCTTGGCAGCAAATTGAGGTGAAAGCGTAATTTGATTTTCATGTATTTATAAATGCAAAGTGATGAGAAAAGAAGAAAAAAAAAAAAACCCCACTAGTCCAACAAATGATGCTGTAAATATAAAGTGACACTGAGCCTCGGGAAGGAAGAGAAACCCATCAAATCGCTCCCCAATCAGCCACTCGCCAAGACAGAGCTGGGATCTTCTCCAAGGCGCATTATATTCCCCAATAGCCTTGCTGTTAAACGTACCCTTGGCAACCAAAAGGGCTTTCAACATGGTTTCTCAGAGCATGAGGAAGGGAAGCTGGGAGAAAGGCCTCTTTTGTGGGAGCCAGCAAATGCCACGGCTGGGTCCTGCTGGAGGAGAATACTGTTGCCAGCACTCCCAGTAAGTGTCATTGATGCTTTTGTAGGAGTGGGGCGCTGGGATGCTGCTCCGTTCCCACTACAAGTCTAGACGGGGCTCTGAGTGCTGCATGTTAAAGCTCATGAGGTTTAACATGCAGGGATCTGAGCAGGGACCTTCCCTTGCTGCCAGCATGCTGCACACTGCAGCGCAACAGCACCAAGCAGAAGGGAGGCAGCATGGTCCCAGAAGGATCCTGGTCAGTGGCGAGGCTTTTGGGATCTGCTCTGTGCTCCCAGGGAGCGTTGCAGGACCCACAGCCCACCAGGCCCCACTTCCCACACAGGCCTGAGATGGGAGGAGGAGAAAGCTCAAACGACTCTCACTGCCTGGAATTCAAAACAGCTCCTGTGTGAAGGACACAGATAAGCACCCGGAGCTCCCTCCGCCTCTCCTTTCTCACATCTGCCCATGGGCAGGCCAGAATCCAGCCTACTGGGACAAACAGTTGCTGTTTCACAGCGCATCAGCCATCTTCTGTCTGGCAAGCTGCTGACATGAAGACTGGCCACTGGCCCGCTGTGACCCAAACTGCCAGGGCTGAAGAAAGAAAGAAATCTGAGCAGCATTTCATCCACATCTCCTCTGCCAAGTGAGAAGATGCTGGTCAAGAACTGTCACAGCTCATGACCTGTTGGTGCCTAAAGCTCCCAATAACTAGCAGGGTGGACTCCCTTCAGCTATCGCACTTTGGTACAAAGTCAGCAGACAGGAAGAGTAATGCTCACCAGAGGAGTGGATCAAGCCCTGTCTGCAGCATGGCCAACTGGACACATGCCCTATTGCCATCCACCTCTGCTCCTGCATGATCCCACTCAGCCACAAGCCAGGCAGGAGGGTTTACTAAGCTGCAGCACAGTCAGCAGCATGGGCAGGAGAGCGGTGAACAGAGCAACTCGGATACCCACCGGCACTCTGCAGACAGCTGGATACACTTAATGAGGGTCTAAAAACCATTAAACAGGATACGGGATCGCTTAGGAGCAGATAAGACGGTGACAGAGGATGAGCTAGGAATTTAAATCCTCCATCAGTGGCAAATATCTAAACCAGCCTGGTTTAGATGTCTGCCTGTAGTACGTCAAATGGGAAAGACTTTGTGGAGGAAGCCTGGGAACAGGAACAAACCTTGGCTGCATAGTGCAGTGCTGTGAGTTGGAGGGTTGTCGCTCTCTCATTGACATCAACACCCAGCTCAGAGACCAGGAACTGGATAGCTTCATCCTGGGCCGTGACAGCTGCCCGGTGCAGAGGCTGAGCACCTAGCACGTCCACAGCTGTAGGACAGGCCTGGAATGGGTGAGAAGAGAAAGGGAAAGCAATGAACAGGCTGACCAAACCTTCAAGGACAATCACCAGCCCCAGCAGAATCGTATGGGAATCAACTGGGGGTGTTCAGCCTGGAGAAGAGGAGGCTGAGGGGAGACCTTATCGCTCCTTACAACTGCCTGAGAGGAGGGGGGAGCTGGGGCGGGGCGGGTGGTCTCTGCTCCCAGGTACCGGGCAATGGGATGAAGGGGAAATGGCCTTAAGTTGCACCAGGGCAGGTTTAGGTTGGACACCGGGAAAAATTTCTTCCCCGAAAGGGCTGTCAAGCACTGGAAGGGGCTGCCCAGGGAAGGGGTCGAGTCCCCAGCCCTGGGGGGATTTAACAGCCGGGCAGAGGCGGTGCTGAGGGCCAGGGTTTGGGGGTGGGATGGCAGGGGTAGGGGAACGGTTGTGCTTGGTGATCTTAAAGGTCTTTTCCAACCTAAACGATTCTGTGATATCTGCCTGCTACAGGGATGGCAATGAACATGAGGGGTCACCAGCAGGACCGATGCAGTTGGTAGCACCATGATTTGCAGACCAGAGCCAGCTCTCTGCTGAGCTTGTTAAGCAATAAGCAAAACCAGCGTCAAAAAAGAAGAACCAAGCCCCTTCTCTCTGTAGTTGGCACACATACGATGGGTTTCAACTCTTTAAAGCAGCAAGAAACAACCCATGTCCAACCTTTGTGCTGTTGGAGGAGAACTGGGGACACAGGTAGAGGGAGGGAGATGGGTGGATGACCTCATGAGATCTCTTCTGTGAGTCTCTGAACGCGAACCACAAAGACATAAAACCAAGAAGGGTAACGGAAGTAATACACAGTGCACTCATCTTAAAGGATATAATCCAGCCTCTTGAAGTCTAGTGGGCCTGACTCATGGTTTTATAAAACCTAAAAGGTAGCAACACTGCCATTAGCGTTTCCAGTGCTGCTTCATGGCGGTAAGCCAGGGCACCACAACGAGGAAATTAAATCAACTATTCCATCTTCATTGCCTGAAATGTGAGATTAAAAACATAAGCAAACTTCACAAATGTTTTATCCTGTAAGGGCCAGATGAGCGGAGACAAGCACATGAACTTCTCCTGAAGAATCTACACACTCAAACATAACCTGGGCATGAAACCACCTCTGCTGGGTGAGGCTACATGTTATGGCTGAGTCATTCCAAAGCCTGTGATCTCCAAAAGTTTGGTACCACTTTCCCTGGCCCACCCTGTGCCATGCTGGGGGCTCAGCCGGCCAATTCAACCTGCCAGCATGGCACAAACAGCTTCATTCGTTTTGCCATGGCACCTTTCTGCATGGTGTCTGATGAACAGCAGAGCTGGTGCAGGGGAGAGGCAAAGTGAGGGCAAAGTAGGTGAGAAGAGAGGCACAACCCCATCTCCGTTGAGAATCAGCCGTTAGGTGGGCTCCAACCACCTCACATCAGTTCAGCAGTCAATAAATAATGCAGCGGTCCGGTTCCCGCTACGCACAATTGGCTCTAATGACATCCCTGGTACGCCTTGTATGTTGGTGGAAATTGGAGATTACTGGGAGACAACACGGGAGCAGCAGCTGCCATGAGAGGGGGAGGACAGAAACGAGCTGCTGCCGGTGCAGCCAGACACCTCCGCGTTATCAACCCTCAGCACTGCCATGAGAGCCTCCACGCCAAGCCCTGGCACTCCCATGCGCTGGTCTTGGCTTTGACACAGCTGCTCCTTCAACACTGGGCAAGTCCTGTCCCCTCCTGCCACTGCCTTGTCTCTCCATCCCCCTTCGTTCTGGGGACACATCCCTGCCCCAGCGTGATATCTTCACCACCAGCTACAAAAATGAGGGCTACAAAAATGATCCGGGGGCTGGAGCCCCTCTCCTATGAGGACAGGCTGAGAGAGTTGGGGGTGTTCAGCCTGGAGAAAAGAAGGCTCCAGGGAGACCTGACTGCAGCCTTTCAGTACCTAAAGGGGGCCCATAGGAAAGACGGGGACAATCTTTTCAGTAGGGCCAGCTGGGACAGGACAAGGGGTAATGGCTTTAAACTAAACCAGGGTAGGTTTAGACTGGATCTAAGGAAGAAATTCTTTACAATGAGGGTGGTGAAACACTGGAACAGGTTTCCCAGAGAGGTGGTGGAGGCCCCATCCCTGGGAACATTCAAGACCAGGTTGGACTGGGCTGTGAGCAACCTGATGTGGTTCAAGGTGTCCCTGCTCCCGCAGGGGGGTTGGACTGGGTGATCTGTAGGGGTCCCTTCCAACCCAAAACATTCTGTGATTCTATGATCAGCTGAGTCCTGGTGGCCTGACTTGGCAAAATCTTCCTCATCTCCAGAGGGAATTTGCCTTCTTTCGCAATCCACTTCTTTACAATTTGGGCATCTGCTTCTTTTACAATTTGGTTACGGTGAACACGTGGATTGCCTGTCCTGGCAGTTCTAGGTCAGGTCCTGCAGGAGGGAGATGAGGTTTTTGGCACCTACCTGGTGTTTTTCCAGGAGCAGCCGGGCAATGTTGACATGCCCGTTCTGGATAGCATCCATAAAGGGAGTGACTCCACATTTGTCTCTGCTGTCAGGTTTGTACTGGCACCTGGGAGAGAAGACAGAAGCCAGGACAGAGTTGTTGGTGGCTCTAAAATCCTTACTGCACCTGTTGCTTTGCATTGGCGGGGCAGGAGACTGTCAGTGGATGGGACTGGAAACAGCAGATATAAAGCTTGCCTGTAGACCGTGAATAAACCTGTCTCAGTGCTTTATGGCCTGGGGTATGGTCTGCTGGGGTTTTTTGGGTCAGAGATCTGGTACTCAGCCAGTGCAGCTTGCTCGGGCTGCAGGAAAGCCAAGGGTCTACAGATCATTTTTATTTCCCTTGCCCCCCAAACAGAGGAGCTCTAGAAGGGGTAAGGCGTGTGCTGGCAGAGGGGAAACCATATCGTCATGTAACACCACCACATGCAAAATCAAAGCCCACAGGTCTTGCTCAGGTTAAAGCTCCAATGAAACAAGAGAAGCCTGAATTAAAATTGAAAGCCTGGCTTGAATCACAGGGCTATGTTTATGCTGGGCCAAGCATGGACAGGAATTAACAAGGCTGGGACAAGTTGGCTAAGAGGAGCTGTGGCTAGCAGCAGCTGCGATGCCTGGGGAAAGCTGCTCCAGCTCTGGCAACGGGCAGTGCTGGTTAGGAAGGTAACAGGGTCAGGATGACTGGGCATGGGCTGATTTAAAGCCACTTCATAGCAGCCTCCCGGGAGCAAGAGCCTGAAAATAAAGCCTGGAGGCTGAGTCCAGCCTGGAGGAGCTGTACTTGGAACCAAGCTGCCAGAAAACTGTTTTGGTGTTATCATACAGCCTCGGACACATGGGAGGCAACAGGAATGAATCAGCACAGTAAAAGAGCTGAGTTATATAACCGGGGTTTATGTCATAACGAAGTCAGAGCTCATCGGAGCCCATCCGGAGAGCGTCCTTGCTCAAAGGCCCCTAACAGGCTGTGAAAAACCCGGAGGAAACGGAGATGGCTTCAGGATCGCATGCAGGGCAGCTGTGCAATCGGGCTTGCCGACCGGGCATAAACGCCCTTTGTGTCCAGGCAGCTGGAGCGAGCCCGGCAGCGGATGGCAGGCAGGGGAGAGCAGGGAGGCAGAGGCAGGAAGCCTGCTTACCGCTCCAGGAGCAGCTCCACAACGTCAAAACAGCCATGCATCGCTGAGAGAGAGAGAGAGAGAAGCACAGGGTTAATTTACATTTTCATGCCACCATCCATCCACGGCAAAACATAATCAGGTTTCTGACCCTTGTGGCTTACTCCTGATGCAGGAAGGGGTTCCAAGAGGCTTTAAATTCAAAGCTTTTGATTTTTTTTTTTTCTAATTTAAAACATTATCTCCAGATCTCAAGCCTTCCCTTCTCTCAATCCTATAGGAAAACATCAGATAAAATAAGGAAAAGGCATGCATATAGGCACCATTTGCCTCTACCTGCAGAGTGCATGCATGAGACTGCATGTGGGAATAAGCTGACACAAAGACCTTTTCTTGCAAGTATTTGTTAATCCCTGAAGTGAAATCTGTGACAAGCAAAATGAACACAAAGCAGGGAGCTGGTGAAGAGCTGGATGGCATTTCCACCCCTCCTCAGCCACACAGACTACCCATCACTTCCATCTCATCATCCTAATGAAGCATCCTCACCCAGACAGCATCTCAGAGGAAAAACAACAACAGTGGGGGAGGATTTGAACATCATGCACTGATTTTTTTTTTTTTTTTTTTTAAAACCACATCATATTACAGCAATGTAAGGACAGCCTTGATCTGGCTTTTTTTCTGCAGGTCGTTTTGCAAAACAAATGGAATACATTAAAGAAAAAAAAAAAAAAATCAAACCAAGCCCAGAGCTGTTACATCAGGGTATTTACTCTGTGCGACAGAATAAAGGCCCCTGGTAAATGTGTGTTACCAGCAATAACCTTCAGATGCAGCTGCACAATAGATGCTCTTTGAAAGCCAAACCAGGGGTTCCCATCCTCCCAAATCTTGCTCCTGCTCCCTGCCTGCTTATCACCCCTTCACCTGAGCTGATGTAAACACAGGCAGAGCCACACTGTAAAAAGGATTTTCGAAATGGAGGCTTTAAAACCAAACAAAAACAAGCTATGTGAAGAAAAAACACCCCAAGCAACACAATTACATCCTTTAACAGCAGCAGAGACACAAGAAAGCTGCAGCACTCCGATCCACTGTTGCACTCCACTTCCTCTAATTACATCTTCCCCACTCCCTTGCCTCAGGCTACGGATACATGAAGCTGCAAAGCTTGAGGAATCAACCTGAAAAAAAAATTGCACAGGGGGAGAAAATTACCCATCATCTATCTAGGGATAACTGTGCCAGGAAGCCAGCTGGACTGGTCATGGGTTAATGTGCTCATATCCACACCCTTGGGATGTAAACTCATGGAGACGGAGGTTGGTCTTGACAGACATGATTTCCCCCAGCAGCTCCAGCATCGTCTCCAACCCCTCGCCCGTGCCCCTGCCTCAGGAGCTGTGTCTGTGTAACTGGGCTACGTGGTGGTGCGCGTGGGGGATGCTGGCACCAGCACCCACCAAGCAGCAGCCCCCAGCATCATCCTGGGGTAAAATTATGCTGCAGGTAAAGGTGGTTTATGAGCTCCAGCCCTTCCGGCTGCCCAGTCGCCCCTGCATCAGCTGCTGCTCCACGAAGGTGTGGTCCAGGGTCTCACCTGATTCAGTAAAATGACCAGAAAGCAACCCAAATCATGGGCTGATGGCTTTGCCGCAGTGAAAGTCAAACATAGGAGGCAACACAGAGGTGGAGACATCTCTATGAGGCAGTGAGAACTGGGCACTGGATCCCAACATTGCTGTCTGTACCCCCATATCCCAAGTGCTATGAGGCAGGGAGGAAACTTTAAGCTCAGGGTCAAAAGCCTGCCTTCTCCTCAGGACAGTCCTCACCCTGCTCCTGACCCTGTCCCCAGATCCTCAACCCCCAGATCTCAAAAACCCAACACCCACCTCTCTGCAGGGAGAGAGCTGAGAAGGGGCTGCGAGCCCAGCCTGCCAGCCCAGACATGGAAATGCAAGACCTAGGATTAAGCAGGAGCAGGAGAACACTCAAATAAATGCGGATTAGCAATTTCCCATTCAGGTAACCTGCTCCTTCAGCTATTTTGCATTCCCAGGTCAAACACAAGGACCAAGGCGCAGCCACTGCCCCCGGGCTGGGACTGTCACTGCTGATGAGCACAGTGCGGTGGACAGGCGGCTGCTGAGGGCTGGAGAAGTAACAGGAACGACAGCCAAGGCGCAAGATAACCAACAGATTAATTACAGCACAGCAGGGGTCTCCTCACAATACCTTGGGTCTTTCCGGGTAGTCAATCCCTATTAAATTCTTTGGGAAATGAGTTTAGGTAGCTGCAACTTTAAGTGGTGGCTCCCCACATTTATCTCTCCTGGGGAGACGCTGCAGAGCCCTGGGACATGCAGCCTAATCCCCGCTCAGGGACAGGGCACGTTTCAAATTCAGGTCAGCCACCACCTTCCAGGCCTGAGCCTGCCCCGCAACGTCACCCTAGCTTGGCATCACGCCTCTCCCTTCACTCACTCCCTTCATATCCCACTCCCACTGGAGGGCAGAGTTAAGGGGATTTAAGCTCTGGGAAGACCCATACTTTCTCTGCACTACCCTGCACCAGACCTGACTCTCTGTGTGGGGCGACAAAACACGGTGGGACAAACTTAATTCTGCATTATCATATTTTTTTGGCCCTTCAGCTTATTAAGACTCAGAGAACTTAACTGAGGCACACCTTGTACATCGTTCATAAATTAAGATAAATCACTCCATCTCAAGGATGAGAGAGTTCAGAAAGCCAGACACCAAATCCAAACTGCCTCTGGGTCGCCGTTCAGCTGTGTCTTTCTGCTCCCCACCATGCCTACAGGTGATGTCTGCGGTTCCTCAAACCAGTTCACACCTTTTATACATCCTTTTAAACCAATGCAAAGGGCAGGGCAGGGGAATTGGACACAGTGGGCTCCAACCCTAACAGCCCCTGCATATTCCCAGCAGAGACCATCCTTTTCCTTTGCAGAAAAGCACTCTGGATTTCTCATCGCTTAATGCTACCTTCTTAAGTGCAACGTAAGAATAACAAAACTTGTGATGCTTCTTCTGGAAGTTATGCCTAGAGATCCTGCAGCTCTTCAGACCTGCCATAATGACCTAAGCCACCAAGCACTCGGACAAAAATGGATCATTTTGAGAGATACACCTCTTACAAAAACTGACAATGAGACTATAAAGCAAACCGGTAAAAACGTCCATCAACAGGCAGATCCCAAAAGGTGCCTCTCAACACCTCTGCTGGTTTAGGACTTTTAAAGTGCCAGGATATGCTTGGAGCCTTGCAGATTTTCCAAGTGCAATTTGCAGCTTTATAGCACCAACAAGGAAAAGGGTACTGCAATGTGTTCCGCGCCGTGGGAGCCGAGGCGTATCTGCCACAGGGAGGCAGAGATGGAGACAAACACCCTGATCCAAGGAGGCCAAAGTCAGCGGGTGATCCTGAGTGGTCCTGGGATGGATCCACCACTCCCAAGGGAACCATTATTCACCACAAAAACATGCTTTGAGCATAGGCAAAATCGAATGCAGTGGGAATTATTGAGGGCCCTCCAACCGCAGCAGCTCATTCTTTGGCACATCATTAAGAAATATTAAGCCTAATTCTCGCTCTTTATTTATCTGAAAGCAACTAAAGTGAGTGTCTGTCCCGAGGTGAAACCCTGCAAAGATGCAGCAGGGCACCGTTAGCAGACTGAAGTTCAGAGAGGTGAGCTCCCACTAATGCCTCTTTTCATTTGATTTCAGTAACATAATATTTAACTGTTTCCCTGTGGTTTTGTATCAAGATAGGTCAGAGTTCGCCTCTCCAAACTAAACGGGAACCGAAACAGCAGCCTCTTTCTGTTCTCCACTGCTGCCACAGCCTGCTCTCGCTCTTCCAACCCATCTGGTGGCGACAGGACCCTCTTTTACCTGCTGTGTGCAGAGGCGTCCTCTTTATGGTGCTCTCCGTGTCCCAGCTGCCTGGAAACAGGTCCAGCAGGTACCGAAGGACCTGGGGATGGCCCTCCCGGCTCGCGATATGGAAGCAATTCCAGCCATCCTTGTTCTTCAGCAGCGGGTTGGCTCCATGCTCCACGAGAGCTTTGATCACCTCCAGGTTTTGCCTGGTGCAAGCCATCATTAGGGGGGTCCTGAAAGAAAGACAAGGCAAACATAATAACCAGAGAGACTGTGCCCTGTACAAGCCTGATGGCTTTTGTTCTAAAGTCTGAGCATGAAGCATGATTTAAAGTTGTCTGTAGCACCAGCTACCCTGTCTAATAAAACACAGTTGCTCGGTGCCAGCTGTGGTAAGCTAGCCAGAGGGAAAACTGATGTGCTAAAACCACTCTGAAGTAGTAGGAAACTTTGCTGGCTAAAGGCAAAGACCTTCTCCAAGCCTGAGGCTAAATTCATCGTCTCACCTGCATTCAGATGCTTTGACTGAGGCTCACCACGTGCTGCGTATGGACCCATGAGATTTTACAGCACTATTTTTTCATGCAGGTAATAGAGGGTCTGGACTTTTGGGGACTGTTGAGACAGAGCTGTTGACATCAGTGATTCTTACCCCAGCCAGTCACCCAGCCAGGCAGCAAACCCCAGACAACTCTGCATCTCCTGACAATAGGGCATGAGTATAGCAGCAAATGCCACTCTGGAACATTTCTGATGCAGAGCAGCTGGCCTGAGAGTGAGGCTTTTCACAGTTTTGTCCTGTTTCACGTGTCTGGGAACAATCTTTGATAGTTAAAAACATTTTTACAAGCTCCCCAGAGGAACAGCATCTTCCCCATCTCACAGTTTCCAAGCTGTGCCTTGCATGGATTGCATGCATGCTCCTGGAAAGCCAGTGGACGCATCTGACAAATAGAAACTGCAAACAGCTCATCTCGCCCTGCTTTCAACCCCATATCCAGCAACGGCCACGTTTTCACGCCTATAAGCCACACGCTGCAGATTAACAACCACCCTAGCTCCTGCTTGGCAGCAGGGCAGGTTCACCACCGAGTTTCTCCTCCCTGGTGACCTGTTATCTCCTTGCCCATTCCTCCCCGCTGAGGACTGGTGTGATTGCTGGATCTGCAGCCTCCTTTGGAGGAGCAAGCCCAGAGCCATCAAGAGGTGGGTGTTAGCCGAGGGTTTACTTGCAAGGCAAAGCATGGGTAACTCAAGGTGGTGAACCCACAGACATCTCCCATGTTTGGCTTTACTTAAGTGACTAATTTCACTGACCTGACCAGGATCAACCCCTATTTTCCTTAATTACCACTTTATATAGCAATAATAGGTTAACTCCTGCAAGCGGGAGCTTCATTCTCCATTTTATCTGTTTATAAACTTCACCCAACCATCAAATTACGGGTGCGTGCATGGATCAGACAGAAACCTCTGAGCTTTCCCAGAAAAGATGAACACTTCTCCAGCATGGAGAGGGCTTATCTCCTCTTCACCAACCCACAAACGTCAGCTGGGAGACAAAAAAAAAAAAACCAAACCAAATCCATTCCTCATTCAGAAAAAGCTGCAGCACTTCCCACTGCATGAGGAATAAGAACTCCTGGGCCTAAACTGCAGGGAGAGAGATTTGGCTTAGACATTAGGACAAATGCTCCAGTTCTGAGGACAGATAAGGACAGGAAAAGAGCACCAAGAAGGGAGATAAGATCTCCAATGAAGGAGATTTTTAGGAAGATTAGACACGCGTCTGCTGGGGACGATGGGGTAGAGCTGAGCCTGGAGCTCCACGTTTCCTGCAGCTCCGATTCCGAACGGTGCCCCGGATCAGTATTTTCAATGCAAATGAGACTTTGACGGAAGGCTGGGACATGTGCTAGCAAGGACGTAGCTTCCCATTTTTAATCTGTGGATGGAAGGATACTGCAGGCCTATCAAAGAAAGCCAGGCTTGCACATGTGTCTGCACGCAGCTCATGAGATCTCTGCCTCCCTCTGCTCCCCCTGATGCCAGCAGATCGCTGCCACAGCCTCGAATTAGGAGGACTGGGATGCTGCCTTTGTATTTGTGTTAGTTCCGTTTCCAAACAACCTCCCCGGGCTTTAGCTTGTGGGCTGGGAAGAATCTTTGCTTTCTTTTGCAAGGTGGTACACAGAAATCTCCCTCCCCAAGGGGAAAATTTGACATTAATCAAGCCTTCTGCTTGTCCATGGATTAGGCTTTATTTTTTATTCCCAATTCTCATTCCCTCATCATTTGCTTACGTGTAACCCACGTGGCAGGCAAACAAAAGCCCTGAAGAAACCAGTTGTTTCTTCAGTTGCTGAGGCTGTTGCTATTGTATCAGTAGCAAATCTGAACTGAGAGGCTGTTTGCTGGGGGGAAATGGGAGTAAAACTTACTTTTTATGTTGTTATTTCAGTTTCTGAGGACAGGGACACAGAAACATGAATCAGTATCATGGATTTCCATCAAACAGGGGAATCAGAGGAATGAATAGCTGCGAATGAAAGCTTTTAGATTGGATCTGCTAAGGAAGCAGTAATTTACAAATTCTATGATAAACAGGGGGAAATCAGCAATGGGGCTAGAATTTAGCCAAGAAAGCCAACCGTATCCTGGGCTGCATCACAAGAAGAGTGGCCAGCAAGGCGAGGGAGGGGATTCTGCCCCTCTGTCCCGTTCTGGTGAGACCTCCCCTGGAGCCCTGCGTCCAGCTCTGGGGCCCTCAGCACAAGGAGGACACGGACCTGTTGGAGCGGGGCCAGAGGAGGCCACAAAAATGATCCGAGGGCTGGAGCCCCTCTCCTATGAGGACAGGCTGAGAGAGTTGGGGGTGTTCAGCCTGGAGAAGAGAAGGCTCCAGGGAGACCTGATTGCAGCCTTTCAGTACTTAAAGGGAGCCTATAGGAAAGAGGGGGACAATCTTTTTAGCAGGGCCAGCTGTGACAGGACAAGGGGTAATGGCTTTAAACTAAAACAGGGTAGATTCAGACAAGATAGAAGGAAGAAATTTTTTATGATGAGGCTGGTGAAACACTGGCACGGGTTTCCCAGAGAGGAGGGGGAGGCCACCTCCCTGGAAACATTCAAGGTCAGGTTGGACAGGGCTCTAAGCAACCTGATCCAGGTGAAGATGTTCCTGCTCACAGCAGGGGGGTTGGCCTAGATGACTTTTAAAGGTCCCTTCCAACCCAAACCACTGTGTGAAATGATGGCTCCTGTACCCAAACCTCTTTCAGGTATCACTCTGACCCACAGCAAAGCAAGCCAGTGACCTACCAGTCTGCCTTTTTCAAGCAGTCTACGCTCGCGCCTCTCTCCAGGAGGTAGGAGACACACTCCCTATGGCCCATGGAGGCCGCTTCGTGGAGCGGTCTTTTGTAGTCGCTATTGCACACCTCAACGTCCATCCCCAGCATCTCTACCAGGTAGGCGAGGACATCCCGGTGCCCGTACCGGGCAGCGTGGTGCAGCAGCGTGTCCCCTGAGCGCCCATAGCGCTGGTTCCGCACTGCCGGGCCCAGCGCCTTGTCCGGCCGCAGCTCATCCCGGAGGAGATCCAGCTGTCCCTCCTGCACCAGCCGGAGGATTGGCCTTGGCCTCTCCCCTTCCGCCATGGATAGAGGTCTGGAAGAAAGAGGCAAAAATCAGGATTATGGTTTCAAACTGTGTGAATATAATGGCTGCTCCCTGGGTCGGAATAAACAGAAATTAGCTTTTCCCTCAGAAAAAACAGAGCCCGGCCTCTCCCTCCAAAAAACCCAGAAATTTCCTTTTCCCTCGGCATATCCACAAACCAGCCTCTCCCTCAGGATAACCAGAAATGTCCTTGTCCCTCAGGATAACCAAAAATTTCCTTTTCCCGACAGAAAACCAGAAACTGGTTCCCCCCTTCAGGAAAGCCAGAAATTTCCTCTCCCCTTCAGAAATCCAGGAACAGGCCTTTCTCGCAGGAAAACCAAATTTCCTTTTACCTCAGGAAAACCATGAGCCAGCCTCTCCCGCAGCAGAAACAGAAATTTCCTTTTCACTTGGGAAAACTCGGAACTGGTCTCTCCCTCCAGAAAACAAGACATTTCCTTTCCCTTAGGAAAACCAGGATCCGACCACTCTCCCAAGAAAAAAAGAAATTCCCTTTCCTTTCAGGAAAACCAGGCATTTCCTTTTCCCTCAGGGAAACCAGAAATTTCCCTCAGGAATACCAGAAACCAGCTTCTCCCTCAGGAAAAGGAAATCTCTTTGCCCTCACAAAACCCAAAAATTACTTTTTCCCTTAGGAAAAACAGAAAATGGCGACGCACTCAGGAAAAACCAGAAATTTCCTTTTCCCACCAGGAAAAAAAAAGAAATTTCCTAGGGGAAAAACAGAAATCAGCCTCTCCCTCTTGAAAATCTGAAATTTCCAAGGGAAAAGGAAGTTCTAGGAAGAGGCCTTTCCCTCCAGAAAACCAAAAATTTCCTTTTCTTCAGGAAAAACAGAAACCAGACTCTCCCTCAGCAAATCCAGAAATTCCCTTTCCCTCAGGAAAACCAGAAACCCACCTCCTCTTCAGGAAAAACAGAAACTCTCTTTTTCCTCAGGAAAAACACACAGTTCTGTCTCACTCAGGAACACCAGGAACCCACCTCATCCTCCAGAAAACCAGTCATTTCCTTTTCCCATTGGGAACTGTCAGAAACCAGCCTCTCCTTCAGGAAAAGCAGAAATTTTCTTTCCCTTTAGGAAAACCAGAAACTGTCCGCTCCCTCAGAAAGAATTTTCCTTTTCCATCTGGAAAACCAGGAGCCGGTCACTCCCTCAGGGAAAACAGAAATTTCTTTTTTCATCTTAGGAAAACCAGAAACGTGTTGCTTCCTCAGGAAATCCAGAAATTTCCCTTTCCCCCTCAGGAAAAGCGGAAATTTCCTTTTTTTCCCAGGAAAACCAGAAATTTCCATTTCCCTGGAAAACCAGCCTCTCCCGCAAGAACCCAGTAGTTTCCTTCTCCCTCTAGAAAATGTGAACTTCCCTCCTCCCTCAGGGGAACCAGAAATTCCCCTTTCCCTCAGGAACCGGCCTTTCCCTCAGGCTGGCCCAGGAAAACCAGAAATTTCCATTTCCCTGGAAAACCAGCCTCTCCCGCAAGAACCCAGTAGTTTCCTTCTCCCTCTAGAAAATGTGAACTTCCCTCCTCCCTCAGGGGAACCAGAAATTCCCCTTTCCCTCAGGAACCGGCCTTTCCCTCAGGCTGGGGACCCGCCTGGCAAGACGCGGCGGCGTGATGTCAATCCCCGAGCAGAGGGGATGACGGTAAACAAAACTCCGGGAACGTTTCCCTCGGCCGCAACAGCGTTATCCCTCCCC